AGGACTCCGAACGTATAGCTTGAGTAATGGTGATCTTTGTATCTACCATGTCTTCTTTAAACTAGCGCTTACTTATCACTACATTTCTAGTCACGTTCTTCGTAGTGTTCTTGCATTTTGCTCTCACGATCTCGATTTTGTCTCTGAATCGTTTTAAATACACTACCAATGCTTCATGAGATGTTTCTGTTAGACCTTCAGAAACTTCTGGACCCATTCTGCCATTTTTTATTTGACTTTTTTTCGTCTTTCTTAAATTTCACACTCGTTTTTAAAAAAATCTTAAAACTTTATTCTAGTTTCCGATTGACTCCTCAGAAAAGTTAGCATTTTTAAATGTTTTTCTTTTCTTGAAACTGAATTATTTTGTACCCTGCTGTTTATTTTGGAGGAGAAGATTGACAGATGACTCATAAACTTGAGAAAAATTTGATTTAGTAAAATTAATCTCCTATAAGTGTGTCATTTTACTTTCTAGATCTAATAGAACAGTCTGTTAAATTTCACACATCGAGATTTAAATAGGCAACCTGTGCCAAATCGGTGTCTTAGTGGTAAACTTTGAGGGCTTAAAGCGCTAAAATTAAAGGTTCTAATGATATGGCGGACACATCGCAAGTAGCTCATTGTGCAGCTTTGTATTTAAATACGCAAACAAAGCTTCATCCAACACAACCACAACTTTCTTTATTTTCATTCTTATTACCAAATACAAGCTTGTTTCGCTTGTACTGACGACATCTCAGCACCAACCAAACTTTATTGCAACTTTTAAATGAAACCTAACTTGCTGTAATATTTCGCTAGCCGTTCACTAACAATAATCGTTTCAATTTACAGACCTGTTTTTAGAAGTAAACGTTATCTTAGATAATTTTTCAGCAATCTCAATTACGTAGATGAATATTTACAGAAGATTTTCATAAGCTGAGCAATGCGAGGGGTCGCAATTGACGGCTAAAATCATATTATACAGTGCCATCATATAATTAGTCCCGTTTAACAGACGCATAACATGTAACAACAGTACTTATATTCCAACTGTATATGGAACAGAGGTCATACTGGTCAGTTGGGAAACTGGACGAAGGAGGGTGGAAGTACAGAAGTGGAGCGAGAGGGAAAGTATGTGGAAAAGACAGATTGTACTTAAAACAAATTGAATTGTGCATTTTTATTAGAGTAGATTATTGGAGGAAAAAGAGCTGGTGCCAAAATCATCAAGCTGGTAACAGTTGCAGAAGTAATAGGCTTAGAATCATCTTACTGACATTGAGTCCTTGGTGTTTAAAATATAAGCATATAGAAAAATATACTTGAAAAACATTATACACAATAATTAATACAGTCCAGCACTGTTCATCCGTTCAGCTGTAGGTCTAAGCAATTAATAGCCACATAGCGGGGTGGCCGTATTACCAAATGTCACTGTATGGGGTCAACTCTGGGATCAGACCGAGGCCTTAAAGGCACAGTACATATCCCTACAACTCGCCCATAATACTCACCTTTCTATGTGTTTGTTTGATACAGAATTTTGCAGTAACATCTTTACATACCTATTTTTGCATTTCTTTTCTAAAAAATAAAATTCTACATTGTATTTTTGATTAACAGATAAATGCAAAATTTAAAACTATCAGAGGTCAAGGCATGGCGCTGTTGTTTATGTGCACATGTGGTGACACCTGGCGGTAATGATACTCAAATAATGAACCAACAACTTTCTGCCATTTCCGTCAATAGAACAGAAACAATTGATTTGGCTGAGAAAGTAGACTCTGTTTATTGCATAATGGAGGGAAAAGGTGAGAAAACTTGGAATGAATGTGCGAATTTTCCCCTTTGAACAAATCTTTCGTTCACAAGAAGACCAAAGAGACATCACACTAGAAGTGTTACCGATGTGAAAACATACTGTTTGTTTGATCGTGTATATGTGATTGTGTGATCGTCAGTGCAGCATGAGGTGTGAAGCATCAGGTAGGATTAGCGTGCCATTAATAGGAAACATCAATAGTCACCTGGTTTGTAACACCTACAAGACGTGACCGCTATAAGTTGATGTACGATGGTGGCCTCATTTTGATTGACAGGTCTCAATTGGGCTGCGGCAGGTGAGAGATGGCCTGGGTGATCACAATACTCAGTTCAAAGAAACAGCTTGGGACTGGGAACCAGGTGACCACAAGCCAAGTTGACCACAATACGAGTGTCCATAATTGCGGATGTTTTACAAACATAAAATAGAAGGAAATATTTGGGACTGAGCCAAAATGGTTGTAATTAAGGGTTGACAGCTTTATCGTGTAGACAAGTATGCGGGTCTGAACTGTAATCAAGTTAAAAAAAGTTGCTGTCGGCAGGTACGGCACCACGCTACCTGGATTACACACTGACAAACGTGCTTAGACGGGACTCTACATTTGGATGGAGGAGAGCCTGTGCTTTGGTTGGTGCTGCGTTCATCTAACATGTAAATAAAATAATAAAACTATATGACACAAGAAAAAGTACCCGTCCCCAGTGACAGGAAAAATTTAAGTTAATCTATGGAATTAATCACACTATCGTTCACATTTCAAAATGTGACGTAACTTAAAGAATAAAAATCTATTTATTGTTATTGTTGAGCGGCTCTTAGCATGACTGAAATGCTCAACAATTACTTTTTGCAGTGGGCGATATAAGTAGCTCAGAGCTTTGGATGTGAGTGAAACCAAGAGTGCAACACAATTAACCTTTTTAAAGTCCATGAAATAATTTAAATTCTAACAATTTAGTGTTGAATATCTTGCTTACGAAATAAAATTTGGCATCAACATTATTCATACCTCCCATCATTTCAAAAGTGAATGTTGAGCTTTGCCTGCGTGCGCATCTTTTCAAACACAGTGCGGGAAGCGGCCGCCATAAACTGGAGACAGACGAACGCTCGGACAGACACCATGGTTCGCAATATATATAAGATTCTACTGGACAAAAATACCGACGTGATCAAGACGAATGTTTTTATAAATGAAAGTGCACCCCAAACATGTTTATTGCCTATATTTACCTTAGTTAATCTTTACTGTATAAAAACGTATTTATTTGTTTATGTAAAAGCCTTGATGAAGCCGCAATGGTGAAAACGTAGCATGAAATTAAAAAAAAAGCGTAAAGTTAAAGGTAGTCTTTTATAAAATTGTTTCATTGTTAACGATTAACAGTCATATTTCATAACACAGTTTTTCTTTGTTAATTCTAAACAAAGTGGACCTGGAACCATATAGTTAAGGTGCTCGACTAGTGGGTTCGAATCCCCGTCTCACCAAACATAGGGGCATTATGGTCTTTCACTGCTAATTTCGGGATGGCTAGTGGAAATAGCCCTCGAGTATCGTTGAGCGAAATTCTAAACAAAGCTTTATTTCACTACTTACTAAAGCCTGTTAATTATTTTATCGGACTGAAAATCCGGAGGTCTCGGGTTCGAAACGTGGAGCTATTTGAATACTTTCAGGTAAAACTGATTCCTAACAGAGCGACAAGATTGGTCTGCTTAATAACGGGAGATTCAACAAGATGTTTACTCTGGAGTGATTTTATGTTCTCTGAGTATTAAAGTCATGATAAATAAATTAACTTACAATTAAATCAAACAACCGTTAATACAAACACAATTAATATTTCTGCTAATAATGCTTCATGAAAAAACCTTGTCGAAACGTTGTACATTTGCTGTTATGTTAAACTTATATTAAAGTTTTCTTCATTACCCATTCAAGCTGTCTCCAAGCGTTATTAGTCTTAAAGTGGGTTCCCCTTCATCGAGTTTGAATTCATCACAGTTAATATTTATACTTAACTTATCACAACGGACAATTGCCTTTACTGGATAGTTAGTAACAATTCGATTATCTCACTTTCCAAACTCTATCCCTTGAGATTCTGTTCCTGACTAAAACTTCTAACGTTTTGTTCGACACGGAATAATTCTCACATTAGTTACTTAAATCATTAATGTCAGTCTTACTCAGAGCAACTAGCGTTACACAGGTGACTAGTTATTCTCTAATGAAATAACAACAGAGATCTTCACCTTCAGAGATCACCTGACCACCACTAGAAAAGATACTTGTTTAATTTCACATACCATGTGTCACCTTACAACTATCTTTCCACAATAGGTGCTACCCTAGGTGAATGGCATCACACAATGGACAGCTAAAGTGAAAGGAATTTAACGACATTCTTGATAAATGTTATATCGAAGCAGCACGAAATACATTTTGAAATTTTCAACATAAATACAAGGAGGTATAAAACAAGGATGGGGTGCTTATCAGAGTGCAGTTATTCCGACCGTTTGGTTAACAGTAGTCACTTCAGGTAATGGGTGCTGTCCATTGGTTGCCTTTTTTTTTTTTTGGTCTGCAGTTCAAAAGTAGTGACGGCTATTTCTGAATCATAGGGGACTCTGACCTGGCCACTTAGCATATAGCGATCAGTTGAACAAAGAAACTGATGGTGGTTACTTCAAGATAGCCAAAAGCTTGCCGAGTAAGAAAGTTTTTAAACATCAAGAATTTGCATGTACTTTTTTTTCTATCAATTCACATTATGAGCCTTAAACAACATAAGGTGATCAGTAATCCACTGTAGATACTTTACATCTACAACTACATGATTAGAATGCATTGAATCGTCAGTTGGGAATACTGGTTATTAAGTTTGTTAGCTGTTTTTAGTGTTAAGTCTAAACCTTTACTAAACGGAGCCGTATATCATTGTTGATAACGCACTTTTTCCAGGCAGAACTGTTTTATTTCTTAATTCCAAACCTTTACCAAACAAAGGCACATTTAATTTTGGTGATATACCTTTTCCACCAGAACTGTATTTCGCTGTTTGTAAAAAATATTTACAGGATAGAACCATGATATATATATATACAATTGTCATGAACTTTGAGAGTAAAGTTCATGCATATCTCACATTGTTTGTGTTTTACATAGAGTCTCTCTTGATGCTGGCTTCCCGACTAGAAAGCTCGTTTAACATTGAAGCTGTAGTCGATCCTATTGAAATAAGAATTTCTGAAGCAGTGATGAACTTTCAGGAGAACGGTCCAGCAGTGTCGAAAAGAGTACGTATACGGTATTATATTATGGTAATGTACTACTGATATTGAGAGTACCCTTCTGTCTTAAAGTTCTTAATGATAAAAAAAAAACTTAACAATATATCAATCAAACTTGTGGCTCTCAGTCCTCGGGGAGATAAATTTGTTCATTTTATGTTTGCCTTATTGAACTAATCAGAAACTAAACTTGCACATTTATTAAGAAATTCCAAGTAAGCTAACTATATAGATCAAAACTAAACAGTAATTCGTAAAGTAATGAAGTCCATTCTGTATAACAAACCAACTAAATACGCTCAATATCACAAATTATGTAGAAGAAAACTAAAATCCTGTAATGATTTGAAAGCATTTAAATATCATTTGTGTATATTCTCGTTGTTTACATGTTTTAAGATGCAACTGTGGTATATTCAGGTGAACTGAATTATCATGAGAACTATATCGGATAAGTCCACCAAATAGGAGATTCGATAAGATACAGTGTTATGGGACAGTGCTGTATGTATACCAACTGAGCTGAGGTCTACGAGTAACTGAACTGAATATCAGGTGTAAAGCACTACGGACACAATCTTTATAAATACAAAGACAAAAACACAGTGAGTGTATTGGATCAGTGTATGGAACTTCGGGCTTCTCTCGGAACGAATTCCCGGAGAACTAAACTCATTGAAAACCAGACAGAGCTGTATCAGAATCGAGGTTTCCAGCTCTCGGGAAACCAGGTTTTTTGTCTTGGATTGTGTCACCACGTAATCAGCCTCTCTCTCATAACATTCATAAACCGCGACTTATAGACATCACCCAATCGGCCAGCGGAAGGACGCAGCAGCATTTTTGCAGGCAGATGGGGTGATATCTGGTACGAATCTGGAGATAGTGACAGTCACAAGGCAAAGCTAGTTCTGAGAAACCTTAACGGTTTTCTGGGCCACGTGTTTTATGCCAAACTGCTCATGTTCAGAAAACTAATAATAAATTCAGAATTAATATTAATTTCACAGAAAGGAGAAACATTTGGTATATTCCTATATCACACAATCCCAACACTTAATTCACTAATTTATTCAACATTATTTGAAACGTTAAATTAATAAATTAATCATCAAGAACAATTGAGTATGTAGCTCACAACTTACCAATAGTAAAAAGCATCATTTATGTGCATATCCAAAGATAGAAACTAATGGAAGTTATAAAAAAAGAAGAAAAAACAACTAAAATCATCAACAACGATAGAAAGCGTTTCGCCAGTTTAATGAAGGACATTATATTCGAACATGGGCAAGCGACCGAAAAACCAGGAAGTCTGATATTTATGGTATTTGTAATATCATGAGTTATTTATGTTTAACATGAGCTTTTTCATTTAAAAAAATTACATTTTTGAAAACAACTTGAAAGAAAATCTACCTGAAAGTGAAAACAGTTGTAAAGTAGACAGTGAGTGTAAACAGTTGTAAAATAGACAGTGAGTGTAAACAGTTGTCAATTAAACAGTTAGTGTAATCTAAAAAGTTGTAAACTAGACAATTAGTAAGCAAAACAGTTGTAAACTAGGTAGTAAGCGCGAACTAAGCGATTCTAAACTAGACAGTGAGTGTGAAATATACAGTTGTGAACAAAACAGTATAAAGTTAACAGTTATCAATTAGGTTTTGTTATTGTGAAAAATCATCAGGCTTTTGTGTGATATGAAGATTTGTTGAAGTATTTATTACATTCTGATTTACCGATGACCTGCATAAAGTTGTCAACCATGGTAATATAATATAGGAAACTCGAAACGTATTTTAACATTTTGAAGAACGATTGTTAAAGATAACCTAATCGTACAAAGTTAGTGAATTATGTTGAAAGGCAGCAGTGGTTCTAGAATTGTATGCTATTTTGACATTAAAGTGGAGTTTGTAAGTTTTATATCATACCACATAATGGTTGCTACATTGAAACAGGTAGTTTTGGAACTTAAAACTTTTATAGCCTTATATTACGCCATTGTTGCTACACTGAAACAGGTAGTTTTGGAACTTAAAAGTTTTATAGTCTTATATCACGCCGCTACACTGAAACAGCATTTGTGATATTTTTTAAGAACGACTTCATTTCGTCATGCGTCCAGTACAATATCCACAAATAGTTTAGGTAATTGGCTATACGTGAGCACGTGCATAGACTTCACCTTGTTTTGTTCCCATCTCTAAGTTTGGCCCACCGGAGGCTGGGGCGGTAAACTTCCGTCGCCGTCATCCATCACTGTTATCAGGAACTTCCTTTGACGCGCGCTTCTTTCATCAGTAGAGATTTGGCGTAGGAGAGATTTTTCTTTGGCGGTTTGTATGCGCAATTATTCGCGTTTAGAGGCTCATGGCCTCCGAGCTTGCGTGTAGCCGTGGCTGAAGAAGTTAGGCGCAGCCTGACCCCCTCACCTGTCGGCGGATGGAATGTGGTGGCGGCGGCAGGCAAAGCCCAGCAGGGCATCCCTGAGACCTAGGCCAGCAGCGCGACCTGCCGGCGTGGTATGTCGCTATGCAAAAACGTCTTGTGGTCTGACATACCTTGTTGTTCATCAGAGGCGGTAAAAAGGGGGGAGTTCGGGAGGTGGTCTTTTCGTTTAGTCTTTTCTCAGGTTAAAGTGGCCCATTATTCAAGTGGCGTTGTGTAAACATAGAAATGTTTCAAACTTCGTATCCTCTCACAGCGTTTAAACTAAAAAAATAAATAAATGAACATGTCACTCGTAAAACTACTCACCCATCACCTGGACTAATGTAAATATTAATTTAATAGAATAGATTAATATTTATATTGTAAAATGACATTCCTACTATCTGAAGTAAATGTAGATGTTAAATATTAGAAGTACCCTTGCACATTTTCAGAAATAAAAAATGAGAAATACCATTAACATTTTTGAAAAATATGATGGCCATTTATATGTTCTTAGTTTGTGAACATTTTTAGGTCTAACAAAATTACTGAGTTTGCAAAACACTACTAGAAATAAAAAATAATTACAAACTTGAATACAAAAAACGGGATAGTGTAGTTTTATTTTTAAACGCTATATTAACATAATAAAACTAAACTGAAATAATATATCTTTTATTTTGGCCCCCTAATGGCTCAGTGGCAAGTTCCTGGACTTACTACTCTAAACAGTTGTATGGTTTTGTGCTTAATAACGAACAAACAAAATGTTGTGTTCTAGAAACATCGATGAAGTGATACTTTCAAATTTGTTTAATAGTCTTAACAAATTTGACGAAATTCAGTTTCGAATACAAGTGTTTTCTAGCTCATGTGGTCTTTCGTTTAATACTAAAACTAATCAGGATCTGTCTGAAACGCTATCTCTATATAATGAAGTGCAAGAAATTCTTTGTTGTGCAATGGATGCCTAAACCGGAGAAGCTAATTTTAAGCTCAAGAAATGTAATTAAAAATCACGATTAACTGGTGATGTTTTTATTACACACATATTAATTGGTGTATTACAGAATTCAAAACGAATTATACTTTACTTTAAAAAGTTACCAAGTCTGTTACAGTGTAGGTACATCCTCCTCGTATTTCTAGTTATTATTATTCTTATAAAATCTTAGACCCATCGCTCTTATTCCTATATCGTGCTACTGTTGACCCATCATTGTTGTTATCTCGGATTTTAAATTATTGAGTCGTTCTCTGCCTTATTCCCCTAGTTGGTTGAACATGTATGCATAACTGTAGGAAGACCTATCGTCCATATTCCTCTAACATGTATTCATAACTTTAGGAAGACCTGTCGCCCGCATTCCTCTAACATGTATTAAGAAGTGTAGGAAGACCTGTCGCCCGTATTCCTCTAACATGTATTAAGAACTGTAGGAAGACCTATCGTCCATATTCCTCTAACATGTATTAAGAACTGTAGGAATACCTGTCGTCCATATTCCTCTATCATGTATTAAGAACTGTAGGAATACCTGTCGTCCATATTCCTCTATCATGTATTAAGAACTGTAGGAATACCTGTCGTCCATATTCCTCTATCATGTATTAAGAACTGTAGGAATACCTGTCGTCTATATTCCCCTAACATGTATTAAGAACTGTAGGAAGACCTGTCGCCCGTATTCCTCTAACATGTATTAAGAACTGTAGGAAGACCTATCGTCCATATTCCTCTAACATGTATTAAGAACTGTAGGAAGACCTGTCGTCCATATTCCTCTAACTTGTTGCCGCATATATTAAACTATAGACCTCGCCCCGTCGTTTCTTTGGGCCGAACGTGGTTAGCGTACTCGGACTGTGAATCAAAGGGTTCACGGTCGCGGTCCATTGCTGCAACAAACATACCCTGCACTTTTGGGCTGTAGGTGCGCTCTAATAGTGACGTTTAATTCCAACTATTCAGCTAGACATGGGTAACCGGAGAGTTAACTTTGGACTAGCTGCCTTCGTTCTTGTTCAAACTTATGGATGGTTATGCACAGAAAGCCTTTTGTAGCTTAGTGTAGGTATTCTGAAACAAATCGTGTTTCAGGTTCTACATTTTTACCACGTTTATTCAGCTGTAGACTCGTCATCATTGTTCCTTTACGTTGTTACCACGTTTATAAAACTGCAGACCCGTCATCATTGTTCCTTTACGTTGTTATCGCGTTTATAAAACTGCAGACCCGTCATCATTGTTACTTTACGTTGTTACCGCGTTTATAAACTGCAGACCCGTCATCATTGTTCCTTTACGTTGTTACCGCGTTTATAAAACTGCAGACCCGTCATCATTGTTCCTTTACGTTGTTACCGCGTTTATAAAACTGCAGACCCGTCATCATTGTTCTCTTCCCGTGTTACCGCGTTTATTAAACCTGTCATCATTGTTCTCATACTGTGTTGTTACTGCATCATCATTGTTCCATTATCATGTTACCGCGTGTATTAAACTGTAAACCCGTCATCATTGTTCCTCTACGTCGTTATCACGTTTATTAAACCTGTCATCATTGTTCTCATACTGTGTTGTTACTGCATCATCATTGTTCCATTATCATGTTACCGCGTGTATTAAACTGTAGACCCGTCATCATTGTTCCTCTACGTCGTTATCACGTTTATTAAACCTGTCATCATTGTTCTCTGTGTTGTTACTGCATCATCATTGTTCCATTATCATGTTACCGCGTGTATTAAACTGTAAACCCGTCATCATTGTTCCTCTACGTTGTTACCGCGTTTATTAAACCTGTCATCATTGTTCTCATACTGTGTTGTTACTGCATCATCATTGTTCCATTATCATGTTACCGCGTGTATTAAACTGTAGACCCGTCATCATTGTTCTTCTATCTTGCCTCTGATTTACTACCACATGAAACTTGTAGATCTTTCTTCTGCCTCTTGTAAGTTATAGACTCATCGTGATCATAATTTTCAACTACTAGGTTGGATAAATAAAGATAATTGACATGGTATTTTCTGTTCGTAAAGTAGTCATATGTTTGAAATTTGTTGTTCTTTCCAAACATTTATTGGTTTAAATTTTATTTTATTTTGTGCATTTTGAGCTCCTGAAAGTTCTGTAAACATAATAGTTTCTATATTTTCCAGTTGTTTGAGAAATGCGGTAAACCTCGCCTAGGAAAACGAGAAGCTAGGAAGGAGTTAGAGTTCAAGACATATACTTTTGGCTCTCGTCATAACTTCCACAGAGCTACTAAAAGTGGCTTGGATCGGCTTGTTGATAAAATTAAAAAGAAAATTAGACGAACAAAAGATTTTTGGTCAAATCTTCCCAACGAACTGTGTAGTAATCCGAAAGTTACAGGAGATCGAAACACCAGGAGTAATCAAGAAGGCTGTTGGAATGGGTTAACCAAAGCTAAGTGAGTTATAGAGTTTAGTGCCATCTAGTAAGCATAAAGTTAACTATTCTATGTTGAGGCATAAATATGTTTAAGTACTAAAATTATCATGTCCTTACTTCTTTATATTAGGATTGATTATCATTTTTAACCGGTCTCTAAGAAAGTATTAAATAAAACGATGCATTTATAAGTGTCTTTATACTTATGGTCTATTTTTTTTTCTTCATACATTATTTTTCCCTGTTGAAGTTTTGCACATGACGCTCAGTTATATAGTAAAGGTCAGATTTTTGACATCAAAAACTAGGGATTTACAGTAACGTTATGTAAACTTTATGTGAATTAGAAGTATTTAAGAAAAATGTTGGGTTTGTTTCATTTATGGTTTGATGGTTGTTGTTGTAATGTTGTTTATAGAATGCTATAGATTTCATGAGTAGCATCTCACAAGGAAAAACACTCTTTAATGAATTTGAAAAGATATGAGACGTAGTTACAACCGTTTTGAAAGCCACTGTTCCCTCGTCCTTGGTGGAGTCAGAGATAATTTTGTGGACTTATGTGCTAAAAGCCAGGGTTTGACAACTCATTGTGTAACATTGCACTGAAACAACAATCAAATATGCCTATTTCTATGTTAATGAAATTAAGGGTATGTTTTTATTTTTCAATCAGGTATGATGCCAGTCTAGTAGGAAATGGATTGGTCAATCAAAAGGACAACCCAGAGGTCAGTTTAGATGTAACCACACAAAACAGTGTTATAGCTCGGCTGAAACTAACATTACAACTTATTACTTCAAAATTAAACAACGCTTACAGAGGAGTTGATGTGGAGTGGGAAGACACTTGTGAGTACCCTGCATTCTAGTTTCCCAAATATTACTTGTTATATGAGATGAACATTAATGTAATGGGAAATGAATAAGTTAATCACTATTCCCGAGTTCCTAGTTTTACCAGTTTATTCTTATTCTAGATTGGAGAGAATCTGTGGTTGAGAATAAAAACTAAGGCATGAAATTAAAACAAAAGCCTTAATATTACTTTTATAATTAACATACTTTTAGAACATGTAAATGCAAAATGTAAACAGTTGATTTGAATTTGAATACTATTTTAAAATTATATTCATTATATGACGATTTTGTAGAATTTCTGCTTTTAAGCATAGTTGTTCTTGCTCATCAAAAGTTTTCATATCTTGAATCAAACAAGTTACTTGAGTTTGATTACCATTAAAAGAGTTAGTTGTCACTCATGTTATGTAAGTATTCTTTCTGAAATTGGTGTAGTATGAAATTATTTTAGTTTAATACTACTTCTATTACTCTACTACTGGAACTGACTCAATTACACAGCAGTTGGTACTAGTTCTATCACCCAGCTGTTGGTACTGGTTCCACTATACAGCTGTTGGTACTGGTTCCACTACACAGTTGTTGATACTGGCTCCATTACATAGCTGTTGGTACTGCTTTCATTATACAGTTGTTGGAACTAGTTCCAATTACACAGCAGCTATGTAATGGAGCCAGTATCAACAACTGTGTAATGGAACCAGTACCAACAGCTGGGTGATAGAACAAGTACCAACCGTTGGTACTGGTTCCATTACACAGTTGTTGGAACTAGTTCCAATTACACAATGGTTGGTACTTGTTCTATCACCCAGCTGTTGGTACTGGTTCCATTACACAGTTGTTGATCCTGCTTCCGTTACACAGTTGTTGGAACTAGTTCCAATTACACAGCTGTTGGTACTGCTTCCATTACACAGTTGTTGGTACTAGTTCCAATTACACAGTGGTTGGTACTAATTCTATCACCCAGCTGTTGGTACTGGTTCCATTACACAGTTGTTGATACTGGAACCATTACACAGCTGTTGGTACTAATTCTAGATATTATGATTTTGGGATCCACAAACTTCCTTAATGAATGATGTAGAGTTTTTTAGGATGCACCAAACCTGGTGACTGCTTTTTCATGCTAAAGTTGTAATAGTTTTGTTTTTGTGTTCATTTCTTATCTGGATCCAGTCAAATTGTGCACAAATGTTCTTTCCATTTTATTGTCTCTTGTTCTATGCTAATGAAAGTGTTTCAAACTTTATTTCTGTAACATTAGAGCCAATTTCATTTAAGCAGAACACAATTAAGTATTGTAAAAATTGAGAACCATAATCTTTTTAGTATTATAACTCTAAACTCTATAACTGTTTCATTAGGAAATTAAACAAATGACAGATTTCACTAATCTAAGTTTCCAACAATGGTAAAAGTAGGAATCTCAAAGGTATTTGTTTTTTTTAAACCGAATATAATATTTATATATATTTCAATATTGTTTTCATTAAATAATGCATAATTTCCAATTTAGCTGAGACGGAGTGGGCAGCCAGTGGCAGTGGCAGTGGAAGTGGCTGGATGCCGGAAGACACTGAAGATGATAGTTCTCCTGACATTTACTTTAGTTACTCCACTACTAGAGCTCCTGCTGCCCCGAGATGGCCAGTTGAGTCCACAGAACAACCTTCAGAAAAGCCATCAGCAGCTCCAGAAATGTTATCGTCCAATCTTTTAGTGATTTTGTTAGCTATGTTAATGTCCAGTGTCATCTATTTGTGAAGGTAGAAATTATCAGTAGTACTACCATTTGGAGATCAATGCTTGGTATTTTTCAAACAGTATATTTCCTCAAGAGGAGAAATAACAAACTGACTATTTGAAATAGAAGACCACAACTTTTGGACTTGAAGAAAGAAAATTTATTAAACAGATTTTTTACTCAGGAGTTTTTTTGGGAAAGGATGTTGTTGGAAAAATTTGGTGAAAAAAAGATTACTAGTGTTCTCCCTGTATTTTTACCACATGTGAATTTCCCACAAATATAAAAATTACTTATTTTTATAAACTCTGCATTTGAGGAATTCAATTGGTAAAACTGATGGTCAACTTAACTCCATGATGTACATCTCCGGAGCTTTAAGAATTGATTTTAAAAACAAATATTACAGAAGTCTTAATAATAAACAAAATAAGCTCCGACAATCAATCAGGAAAGTTGCACTTTCTCCGTGTATTGATTCATATATATATATCAGTTTATAATAAATATTGGAAAACTTTAATTTTTAAGCAAAATCAGGTCCTAATAAACGTATTTACAAAACCATTGTTTGTAACCTAAGATCCAGTTAAATTAGGTTACAAAAATTTATAATTATCTGATTACTTAATTAATTCACTTCCTTTGGGAGTAGAAACTTTTTTTAATGTATAGTCAGATTTTTCTTGTACTTACAGTTAACATAGCTATTATTATCCTCATGTAAAATTAGTAGTGATACTGTTGTGATGTGTTGTGTATTTTCTCTTTGGCTTAGTGAACAGATGGCAGAGATATTATTAATTTGTTTTACATTTCATAAACTACTTGTAAATTTTATTAATTTATACTTAGAATATATAAATGTATTGATTATATGAGATTTTCTTTTCACTGTAGTGTTTTACCTGTCTGTAGTACATTTTAGGACACAAATATTCAAAATAATCTGAATATATAGCATTGTCTCCAATATTCTGGACAGCTCAAGAAAGACAGTTTTTTTTCTTAAGTGTTACAGTTTATTAGAAGATTCAACATGGCAGCTTCCTAAATGCTTAAAAAGAAAAATGAACACACATTTCGTTATGTAGTTTAGAGGTGAATTTTGTATGATTTTGTGTATTCTTATCTAAACATTGTTACACACTTCCCTTTGAAACTGAAAAGAAATTTGAAATGATTTTTTTCCATATTGCTTTTTATGCCCAAATTTTATAGTGTGATATATTGTCATCCCTGATAGAAGTTAATGTTCATACAGTTGTTTCCTCAAAATTCTTTAGTCCCCAGGAATATGTTTGGAAAGAATAACAATATCAATTCCATCTTTTTCTACACCTTCTATTTAATAATGTTATTAATTCCATCTTTTGCTATACCTTGTAGTTAGTTACCCAATTGCTTTGAGTATTCTTTTCAGAACTAGGAAAATTTGCCGATCTTTGAAATTAAGTGGAGAAACTTAAGAATAATGTTGTGTTACATAGTCATGTGTTTACATGTTTTATAGATGTGTTTTTTGTTGTGTTACATAGTCGTGTAGTGAAAAACTAAGTATACGAGAGTATTATGATTCATGCTTTCTCATGTTTATGAGATACTTCTCATACCTTCAGTTGCAAAAGGTAGCTTAACTATAAACACAACATGTTAGACCATAACTGAAATGTCACCTTTAGCCCCGTATATAGTAAATTACTGTACATACCATATATGATAGATCACATAATAGAACAAAGCACACTGTTGTATCTATAGCTTAATGCTGCACTGCATAATACCACTTTAGGTATGTGCAAGTATTTTACATATGTCCAAGCACATAACACAATATTTACACATTTACATTATATACTTACATACAAATCACTACACATTTATATATACACCACTACACACTTCAACAAGCAAATTATTATCAAATATGCCTTTCATTGGCAGCTTGCACAGATGCAAAATAAACACTTGCAATGCAATCTACATCTACGTCACTACATGTTTGCACAATTATATCCCTTATTCTGGATATTTACATAAGTACATTACTAACCGTTTATAGATTTTCACACATTCGTGTGAACAAATCACTGCCTATTTATACTAGCACTGCACTACAGATGTATTATATAAATAATTACTACACAGAAAACTTCTGCAACTGCACATAGGTATCACAAATCACTGCTTATTTATACTAGCACTGCACTACAGATGTATTATATAAATAATTACTACACAGAAAACTTCTGCAACTGCACATAGGTATCTTGTAGAAAACAGCCTTTACTTTCCATTTGTGTGTATATTTTAAGTTATGCACATTTATAATTTTCTACATTCTCATCTATTTAATGCATAGCTACCCAGTTTTATAACTTTCTTTATGTAACTCCAAATAAAGATTGTTCTATAAATATTAACATGCTACTTTAAAGTGTTCTTTCACTCACCATGTTAAGTAAAATAAAACATTGGAGACAAGACCTTGTTCTATAATTGCATCAAATAATATATACATCACCCACATTATGAACCTACATCTAAATATTTTTCAATTGAGGAGTGATTACACCAAAGAACAGTACAATAAAACTTAACACGATCTTCAAAAAACACGTGAAAATACAGTGAACAAAACAAAACCAGTGTAGAACAGAGGGATTTTCTGAAGTGCTAGGACTTTTTGTCCATCCATACAAGTACACTTGCTGTATTTAGTGTATGCTGTAAAAAAGTATCTGTGCCAATAAGAGTAACTCCATCAGAACTTCCAGTTATCCAGAGTTCCTTGAATAATTTGTGTTTGTGTTAATGTTTGTATATAAATATATACATATATATCTATGTAATGATTTCAGTAGGAGTTATATCCACTTGTGTGCCATAACTGAACCTCCCCACTTTTAATCATGACACTGTTGAGATCTGGTTACTTGAGGAGATTCAAAATGTTTGTTGACCTTTCTTTTTTTTTCAATATTTAAGGCTTTTTTTTACTTTTACATAGCAACTTTTGTTTCTGTCAGTTGCTATGAAAGTTAAAGTTATAAAATTGGAGTTATTTTAAAGAAAAGCATATTTCAACATTTACAGTAGAGTACGTTTGTTATATTTAGCTCTAAATAATGGATTTCTTTGTCAAAATTCAATATGCTTTCTTGAAGAAATAGTGTAGTATAAACCTTTTGTTGTGTAATAAGTTATATGTGTATAATACAGTAGGTCTTTAACAACTTAAAAATTGAGAATGCGAGTTTTAATGGGCTTAAAAAGAGTTGAAACTCAATCTAACAATAATTAAAGAAATTACAGTGTTATAATTAGTTGGGAAGAGCTGAAACTGAGTATAATATTTAATTATGTTTATTGTGATTGGTTGAAAAAAAGAGTTCAAACTAAACATGCATTTGATAGTCTTTTGTAATTTGTTGTGAAAAGCTGAAAATAATGCGAGTAATTGAAATGGTTTTGTTTGGTTAAGAAAAGCAGAAATCAAGTCTAAAACTTGAGACTGGTGTTAATGATTAGAAAAAGGTAAAACTCCATATAATGATTTAGCACTAGAAACTACTTAATGTAATTGATTTGGAGGAACTCAAACCGAGTCTTACAATTGAGAGTGTTTGTTGTAACTTCATATGGTTACATGAGCTGTGACTATTGGAAGAAGTTGAATCCGATAGCCTATTAATATTATATACAGCTGAAGGTGTCTATAAGAAGCTGTTTCTAGAATTAGCTCGTTTCATACTATTAATAAAGTTACTTCTCTCCAAGACTTTATTTTTTATTACTATTTTAACTGTCTGGGTTATACGAAATAAAACTTGTTCAGTTTGAGAGAAATGTGTTACATTACTTACCTCGGTGTTTAGTACTACTATAACAGGAAAAAAATAAAGACTGTGTACAGTAATAGGCTTAGTAAGCTGAAAGTTAACGAGCGTGCCATTGTAAGCAACATCTTGATCAGGGTGTGGTTTATTTTGTTTAAAATCGTCTCTTGTATTTTAATAACAACTCTTGTTGTGACTTTACAGCGAAGTGAAATAAAAACGTACGATATTTCTCTGGTTCTGTTTTCTTTAAGAACATTATTTGTATAAACGCGTAAAATACTTTAGTCTTATTACGTAAGGGGTTTTTCAAACTATTTGTCCCTAACTTTACAAATACAATTACAACATTAGAACACCACTACTTTTGGTGTTGCAAACCTAAGTCTGTAGAAGTCTATATTCTTTACTTGATTGATAATGTTGTTAGTATTTTCACGATGAAGTGGCGAAAAGAATTTTGCGAATGAGGTAATAAAGAAAATTAAATCGATGACGTTTAAGAAATATTCTAATTTAGGTCAGAATAATAATTGGTTATAATTGGATAATTAGTTGGACCATGAGTGGTTTGGTGAGGAGGTGTTGATGTGGGCTGTGATTGGTTGATTAAGTGGTTTTGGTTTTAGTGACAGTTTAGTGTCTCCGTGTTGATCAGTAGCATCATGTGCTGCTCTTCTCTAAACCTGTAATTCCGTTGAGTAAAGGCTTTTGTGTGTTATGTAGAAAACTTCTTTGATCTTTCTGGTTTTCCAAAACTTGAATGTGTCAATGAGTGTGTAGTAGTCTCAGTTGACAGTGTATTGAGCTATAATAGCACGTTCTGCAATGGCAGAGTTTTGTGTTTTCGTAAGTCTTGTGTTGTCTCTGTTCTTTTATTCTTACACCAAAATGCAAGGGGCAAAGGATTGTATAGATGATGGTTTTGTGTCTTTTATGATTTTCAGTGGATATCTATGTTGAAATTTCCGGTTTCAAGTTTTACTACTTATACTCATATTCTGTGTATAAGGTAGATAAATAACTGGAGCAGGTATGTTATTACGCTTGGTACTAGTGGGACTTTTCTGCTGTTCATGCTGTGTTTTATGAAGTTGCAAAGGTAGTCATTCTGTTTGAAGCACCATATGATATATAGATGGTCATCCTTGATGGAACTTTTGTAACAGATGTTTTCAACTCTATTATTCAGGCGTTAGATGATACTACGTTGTATGGAAGGTGGGTAATGTGAGTGGAAGCTTAGGTATCTATCTTCTTGGTTTATTTTTTTGTAAACTGTAGTTATGAATTCGCTGTAGTCGTTGTTGAAGAAAATTTTCAAGAACAACAGTGATTTTGCCAATTTCCATTTCTATGGTCAGTTGCACTTTGTGGTCTATAGATTTTAGACGTTTCCAGAAGGAAGTTGGGTGTTCCCGTTTATATGCTCAGATTATAGATAAGTCAACAAGATATTTGTACAAACTAGGTAACGTATCTGTGAAATTCAGTGTTTTGTAATCGAAGTTTATTAAATAAATATCTGCCAGGACTGAAAAGTGGAGAGCACACGAACAGACCGTCCGTGTGTTCTTATGTTGTAGTGAAAATAAGTAGATTGATATACACTGCAGTTAGTTCCACGGTAGCTTCAATATTCACCCCAGTTGTAGTTAATAGGAAATTATCATTTAACAGCCAATGTTTGGTGATATAGAGGGCGTCTGTGGTGGCAATGCTCTTTCACATGAAAACTGACCAAAATATCCTGAGAGTTAATGTGTACATTTTTGAGTTGAGAATGTGGTGTTCTGTGTTGCCTGAAAGTGTTGATATTATAGGTGCCAAGAAACCAGCTAGAAAATGACAAGGTGAGTTTATGGAACTCACAATGAAGCCAAGAGTGTTTGTGGTTCTTGGCACGGCCCTCGAGAACAATAGCCTGGACACACATGTTTGTTTAACTTCACGCTGCGGAGGCTGAACGTTCACATATTAAAAACAATTCATTTCAAATATCATCAATATTTCGTGATCAACTTGAGATAGAGAACAGGAATCCATTACCGATATTGATCCTGTGATTTTAAACTTCAGTTTCAAATATTACAACAACATTTCAGACCCATAAATAAAAATAATTAAGTTCTATTGAAATATCTCAAAACTTAGTAGCATAAAACAGTTTCAAGCATACAGTTTCCATTTTACAATATTCACAAACAAGGTTTAATACAATTGTTCTTATCGAACAGGCTTCTTAGTACAATAATAAAACGTAGAGTAAAAAAGATAGTACAATACGAAATACAATTTGCACCCAGTAGCCCTCAAATAAACACTTAACTTCAACCTATCTTCTAAAATGTGTTGAACTAAAAAAATGCGGCATTTTATTGATATAACTCTAGTTATTTTTTCTAGCAAGTTATTGATGTCAAGAGTTTGAAATATGTTAATAGCTTGCTTGAAAATAATGAGTTTTTTTATTTTAGTCTGTTATTATTGACGTTAATAAGTTATTATTAATTAGTGTATAATCTTAATTTTTAATTCAAGCATAATACAAAACAGATGTGCAAAAATTAAAATTTTGATAAAAGTATTGATGACTGTAAAACACGTCTTATTGTAATATAGTCCCAAATGTTACTACTTACAGAAACTCCAAAAAATTTAATCTTTCTCTTCTTTGATCTTTTTGATATTTGGTCATTCTTAGTCTTTTTGTAATTATTTAAAAACATCTTGGCACAGGGTTTAATAGTTTTCTCAAGAACAGAAGCTCTTGTTTTGTCGCAAACAGGGCAACTGTCATTCAGTTGTTCGATATGCGAAGAAACAAAATGTGTCGTTTGGCGAGAGTGATAACTATTTTCAATTAGAACAACGATTTAACAAATGTTTCCTCCCCATAACAGATAAACTATAAGGATCTGGTGAAAAAAAAACCGTTTGAAATGCATTTAGGAGGTTTTAGGGATTACACAAAGGAAGTTTGAGATTTTGAAAAATATTTTTACTCTTAACATGAAAATTACTTTGCACACGGACTATTCAAAACAAATACTCAATACATCCATTCTTTATTTTATTTTATTAAAAATACTTCACTAAGAAATATGACTTTTTGTATGTGAAAGATTTGTAATATTAGCTGAAAGACTGCCATATTTCGTGAAGATATACCCAATATATTGAGAGTTATAAGTATTAATTTATAAAGACTAAACGAGTACAAAAGGTCACGTGACTCGGTCAAATTGACCGACCCCGTTTCGAGATTAAGGATGTAGAGTTTCTGCCCCAGTTTGGAGGTGTTTAAAATTTTGCATTGTTTGAATTAGTAGACTAAAGTGTGGCAGAAACCCCACATATACACTGAGTGGCCACAAGTAAATAGACACCTAATTTTTCGTCATTTAACTGATTTATGCTAACTAATTTGTGTTCACAGAGCACTATATAATTATATAGTATCTAGATTAATGAATTGGGAACCTGGCACAACCAGATCTAGATCAATGATTCATGAATTGGGAATCTGGCACAACCAGATCTAGATCAATGATTAATGAATTGGGAACCTGGCACATCCAGATCTAGATCAATGTTTCATGAATTGGGAATCTGGCAAAACCTTATCTTGTGCTACAATATGCCTATAACTCTCTCGAGTTGTCAGATTTTGTAAGAGGAAGAATAGTTAGTCAAGCAGATGGTGGAATAAGTCAGCGGCAAATTTCGCAGAATTTGGGAATCCCGCTTTCGACAGTCAACAGAATTATCGTGCAGTTCAGTAAACACGGCAAGAAAACAACTGAGCAGCATCCGG